ACATGTGTAGAGAAAATGGTGCATCGGCCAGTCTGGCCGGCATTTCGCACTTATAGAGCAACTAGGGCCAAGGAGAATGGAAACGCTCATTTCTCAAAAAGTAGAGGGAATCTAGCGGTCTCACTCGATCAGAAGGTGGGAAATATATAAATCTAGTGAGCTAATAAGGTTCGAAAGGAATCTAATGCATATGTATATGGAAAATGGTGCATTGGCCAGGTCGGTTAGTATGGGAACTTAGAGTGCAAATGCCAGGGAGAACAGAAGCGCTCAGATCTCGCATAGTACACGGAATCTAGTGGTCTCACTCACATAGAAGGTAGGAAATAAATTCATCTAGTGAACGTAAGGGTTTGAAAGGTAACTAACGCACATGTGTAGAGAAAATGGTGCATCGGCCAGTCTGGCCGGCATTTCGCACTCATAGTGCAGGTGGGGCCAGGGAGAACGGAAACGCTCGTTTCTCAAAAAGTAGAGGGAATCTAACGGTCTCACTCGATTAGAAGGTGGGAAATATATAAATCTAGTCAGCTAAAAAGGTTTGAAATGTATTCAACGCACATGTATAGAGAAAATGGTGCATTGGCCAGGTCGGTCAGTATCGGAACTTAGAGTGCAAATACCAGGGAGAACGGAAGCGCCCAGATCTCGCATAGTACACGGAATCAAGTGGTCTCACTCAAATAGAAAGTAGGAAATATATTCATCTAGTGAACGTAAGGGTTTGAAAGGTAACTAACGCACATGTGTAGAGAAAATTGTGCATCGGCCAGTTTGGCCGGCATTTCGCACTTATAGTGCAACTAGGGCCAAGGAGAATGGAAACGCTCATTTCTCAAAAAGTAGAGAGAATCTAGCGGTCTCACTCGATCAGAAGGTGGGAAATATATAAATCTAGTGAGCTAATAAGGTTCGAAAGGAATCTAATGCATATGTATATGGAAAATGGTGCATTGGCCAGGTCGGTCAGTATGGGAACTTAGAGTGCAAATGCCAGGGAGAACAAAAGCGCTCAGATCTCGCATAGTACACGGAATCTAGTGGTCTCACTCAAATAGAAGGTAGGAAATATATTCATCTAGTGAACGTAAGGGTTTGAAAGGTAACTAACGCACATGTGAAGAGAAAATGGTGCATCGGCCAGTCTGGCCGGCATTTCGCACTCATAGTGCAGGTGGGGCCAGGGAGAACGGAAACGCTCGTTTCTCAAAAATTAGAGGGCATCTAACGGTCTCACTCGATCAGAAGGTGGGAAATATATAATTCTAGTCAGCTAAAAAGGTTTGAAATGTATTCAACGCACATGTATAGAGAAAATGGTGCATTGGCCAGGTCGGTCAGTATCGGAACTTAAAATGCAAACGCAAGGGAGAACGGAAGCGCTCAGATCTCGCATAGTACACGGAATCAAGTGGTCTCACTCAAATAGAAAGTAGGAAATATATTCATCTAGTGAACGTAAGGGTTTGAAAGGTAACTAACGCACATGTGTAGAGAAAATGGTGCATCGGCCAGTCTGGCCGGCATTTCGCACTTATAGAGCAACTAGGGCCAAGGAGAATGGAAACGCTCATTTCTCAAAAAGTAGAGGGAATCTAGCGGTCTCACTCGATCAGAAGGTGGGAAATATATAAATCTAGTGAGCTAATAAGGTTCGAAAGGAATCTAATGCATATGTATATGTAAAATGGTGCATTGGCCAGGTCCGTCAGTATGGGAACTTAGAGTGCAAATGCCAGGGAGAACGGAAGTGCTCAGATCTCGCATAGTACACGGAATCTAGTGGTCTCACTCAAATAGAAGGTAGGAAATAAATTCATCTAGTGAACATAAGGGTTTGAAAGGTAACTAACGCACATGTTTAGAGAAAATGGTGCATCGGCCAGTCTGGCCGGCATTTCGCACTTATAGTGCAAGTAGGGCCAAGGAGAACGGAAACGCTCATTTCTCAAAAAGTAAAGGGAATCTAGCGGTCTCACTCGATCAGAAGGTGGGAAATATATAAATCTAGTGAGCTAATAAGGTTCAAAAGGAATCTAATGCATATGTATATGGAAAATGGTGCATTGGCCAGGTCGGTCAGTATGGGAGCTTAGAGTGCAAATGCCAGGGAGAACGGAAGCGCTCAGATCTCGCACAGTACACCGAATCTAGTGGTCTCACTCAAATAGAAGGTAGGAAATATATTCATCTAGTGAACGTAAGGGTTTGAAAGGTAACTAACGCACATGTGTAGAGAAAATGGTGCATCTGCCAGTCTGGCCGGCATTTCGCACTCATAGTGCAGGTGGGGCCAGGAAGAACGGAAACGCTCATTTCTCAAAAAGTAGAGGGAATCTAACGGTCTCACTCTATCAGAAGGTGGGAAATATATAAATCTAGTCAGCTAAAAAGGTTTGAAATGTATTCAACGCACATGTATAAAGAAAATGGTGCATTGGCCAGGTCGGTCAGTATCGGAACTTAAAATGCAAATGCCACGGAGAACGGAAGCGCTCAGATCTCGCATAGTACACGGAATCAAGTGGTCTCACTCAATTAGAAAGTAGGAAATATATTCATCTAGTGAACGTAAGGGTTTGAAAGGTAACTAACGCACATGTGTAGAGAAAATGGTGCATCGGCCAGTCTGGCCGGCATTTCGCACTCATAATGCAGGTGGGGCCAGGGAGAACGGAAACGCTCGTTTCTCAAACAGTAGAGGGAATCTAACGGTCTCACTCGATCAGAACGTGGGAAATATATAAATCTAGTCAGCTAAAAAGGTTTGAAATGTATTCAACGCAAATGTATAGAAAAAAAAGGGGCATTGGCCAGGTCAGTCAGTATCGGAACTTAAAATGCAAATGCCAGGGAGAACGGAAGCGCTCAGATCTCACATAGTACACGGAATCAAGTGGTCTCACTCAAATAGAAAGTAGGAAAGGGTTTCAAAGGTAACTAACGCACATGTGTAGAGAAAATTGTGCATCGGCCAGTCTGGCCGGCATTTCGCACTTATAGTGCAACTAGGGCCAAGGAGAACGGAAACGCTCATTTCTCAAAAAGTAGAGGGAATCTAGCAGTCTCACTCAATCAGAAGGTGGAAAAAATATAAATATAGTGAGCTAATAAGGTTCGAAAGGAATCTAATGCATATGTATATGGAAAATGGTGCATTGGCCAGGTCGGTCAGTATGGGAACTTAGAGTGCAAATGCCAGGGAGAACGGAAGCGCTCAGATCTCGCATAGTACACGGAATCTAGTTGTCTCACTCAAATAGAAGGTAGGAAATAAATTCATCTAGTGAACGTAAGGGTTTGAAAGGTAACTAACGCACATGTGTAGAGAAAATGGTGCATCGGCCAGTCTGGCCGTCATTTCGCACTTATAGTGCAAGTAGGGCCAAGGAGAACGGAAACGCTCATTTCTCAAAAAGTAAAAGGAATCTAGCGGTCTCACTCGATCAGAAGGTGGGAAATATATAAATCTAGTGAGCTAATAAGGTTCGAAAGGAATCTAATGCATATGTATATGGAAAATGGTGCATTGGCCAGGTCGGTCAGTATGGGAACTTAGAGTGCAAATGCCAGGGAGAACGGAAGCGCTCAGATCTCGCACAGTACACGGAATCTAGTGGTCTCACTCAAATAGAAGGTAGGAAATAAATTCATCTAGTGAACGTAAGGGTTTGAAAGGTAACTAACGCACATGTGTAGAGAAAATGGTGCATCGGCCAGTCTGGCCGGCATTTCGCACTCATAGTGCAGGTGGGGCCAGGAAGAACGGAAACGCTCATTTCTCAAAAAGTAGAGGGAATCTAACGGTCTCACTCCATCAGAAGGTGGGAAATATATAAATCTAGTCAGCTAAAAAGGTTTGAAATGTATTCAACGCACATGTATAGAGAAAATGGTGCATTGGCCAGGTCGGTCAGTATCGGAACTTAAAATGCAAATGCCAGGGAGAACGGAAGCGCTCAGATCTCGCATAGTATACGGAATCAAGTGGTCTCACTCAAATAGAAAGTAGGGAAGGGTTTGAAAGGTAACTAACGCACATGTGTAGAGAAAATTATGCATCGGCCAGTCTGGCCGGCATTTCGCACTTATAGTGCAACTAGGGCCAAGGAGAACGGAAACGCTCATTTCTCAAAAAGTAGAGGGAATCTAGCAGTCTCACTCGATCAGAAGGTGGGAAATATATAAAACTAGTGAGCTAATAAGGTTCGAAAGGAATCTAATGCATATGTATATGGAAAATGGTGCATTGGCCAGGTCGGTCAGTATGGGAACTTAGAGTGCAAATGCCAGGGAGAACGGAAGCGCTCAGATCTCGCATAGTACACGGAATCTAGTTGTCTCACTCAAATAGAAGGTAGGAAATAAATTCATCTAGTGAACGTAAGGGTTTGAAAGGTAACTAACGCACATGTGTAGAGAAAATGGTGCATCGGCCAGTCTGGCCGGCATTTCGCACTCAATATATAAATCTAGTCAGCCAAAAAGGTTTGAATTGTATTCATTGCACATGTATAGAGAAAATGGTGCATTGGCCAGGTCGGTCAGTATCGGAACTTAAAATGCAAATGCCAGGGAGAATGGAAGCGCTCAGATCTCGCATAGTACACGGAATCAAGTGGTCTCACTCAAATAGAAAGTAGGAAAGGGTTTGAAAGGTGTGAAATAAGTGAACAGGAATGAGAATGACTAAGGAAAGGTTGGGTACAAATACAACCCTAGAAACCCTGTACCCCATATGTGCTACCCCACTATAGCCTACAGAAACTATGTCATATAAATCTGACACACCCCCATAGGCAAAGTGGGGGAGAACAAGGGGTCACAAGACCAGTCAAGCAAAGCAAAGCAAGCTCAGGGTGGATCACAAAGTCACCACACAGTCCGAGCACAAGAGGAGGGCCAGAGGCCAGTTCACATACAGGAGTACAGACATATATATAAAACTAGACAAGCAAGAGCAGGTATATAAATATATATATGTCACAGTACAAGTGAAGTCAAGAGGAGAGCAAGTGAGGCAAGACAGGCACAAGACCCAGCTGGGTGCAAAAGCGCTGATGGTCACAAGGCGCGAGTGCCTTGGTGAACACATCAGCAGTGTTGGCCTCAGAGGCCACGTACGCAAGTCGCAACTGACCACGCTGCTGCAGCTCACGAGCAAGGAAGTAGCGGAGAGCAATGTGCTTCGTTCTGTGCTCCAAGCGCTGCTCTCGACACAAGGCCAGCATGGCCTTGTTGTCTACGTACAGCACTGGAGGAGAACGAGGCGGCTCTACAAGGTCAGTCAGCAGGTAGGTGAGCCAGCAAAGCTCCTGTGCAGCCATGGCCCCGGCGTAGATCTCAGCCTCACAACTGGAGCCGAGAACCAAAGACGAGCGAGTAGACCGCCACGAGACAGAGCCGGAACCAAGGCTCAAGGTGTAACCCTGTGACGACCGCTGCGTAGCCTGGTCGTCATCCCAAGAAGCGTCCGCGTGGCCGGTAAGGACCACTGGACTCTGCCCTCCAAGCACTAGCCCCATGCCCGACGTACTGCACAGGTAGCGCAATACCCTCTTCGCTGCAGCCATGTGCTCTGGTCTGTGTCTCCCAGGAGCAACATAGCGTGCAAGAATGCTCAGAGGGTATGCAAGGTCAGGTCGTGTGCAGGTCATCAGGTACATGAGGCAGCCAACAAGCTCTGCATACGGACCACTCGACTCTACGGACTCATCCGAAGGCAGAGCTGAGAGTGAGTGGCGAGTAGGCAGAGGAGTGGCCTGAGGCGAGGAGTACGTGAAGCCGAAGCGCTGAAGGACCTGCTGCACCATGTGAGACTGAGTCAAGGTAATGGTGCGGCGTGCTCTGTCCCGAGTGATCTGCAAGCCAAGGTAGCTGCGCAGTTCACCCAGGTCTGTGCACGTGTGTCTCTTCAGCAGCTCGGACTTCACGTAGGCGAGTCCAGCAGTGTCCGCTGTGGCAAAGACCAAGTCGTCGACGTACACGAGGATGTAGAACGGCGGCAGGGAAGTGTCGGTGCGAAGAAACAGCGACGGGTCAGCAGTAGAAGGAGCAAACCCAAGAGCCGCAAGCGTAGTCCTCAGTGTGTCGTGCCACTCACGCGGTGCCTGGCGGAGACCGTAGACTGGCCGTCGGAGGCTCCACTGGGTGCCAGGAGGGAAAGTCCCAGTGAAGCCAGGTGGACGGCGAAGCCAGATCTCCTCGTGTAGGCTACCCTGCAAGAACGCAGTGCTGAAGTCGAGAGAGTGAAGCTCGTAGTCGCGCTGAGCGGCTATGTGCAGCAGCACCCGAAGAGTAGTCATCTTCGGGGTGGGAGAGAAGGTCTGAAAGTAGTCAACTCCCTGCCGCTGACTGAAGCCACGAGCAACGTACCGTGCCTTGAAGACAGGTGGAGAGCCCGGCGGCCGCTTGACCCTGAAGATCCACATGCCACTGACGATGTTCGCCCCAGGAGGGGAAACGGCGTCAACGTAGGTGCCTGTGGACTTCCAGGAAGCCATCTCTGCATCCATAGCTGCCTGCCACTGAGAGGAGTAGGGACCCTCTACGGCCTCCGCGTAAGAACGCGGAGTCGGGATGTCTAGTGCATCCGGGTCTCCCTCAGGGGCAAGCAGTACAGACGCGAGATGAGGTGAAGCAGCCGCTAGACACTGTAACTCCTCCTGCCTGTCCTCTAGGACGTCCGTGCCAAGAGCACACTCACCCCCGACGGACGGAGGACAGACAGACACAGACTCAGCAACAAGACTAGCAGCGTAGTCGAGACGACAGCGAGCAGCAAAGTCGACGAGCTCAGCGACTAGAGCAGACGCAGCAGTGGACTCAAAGGAGGGGTCACTGACGACAGTAGCAAGCAGACGCGTGACAGTAGGACTGGCAGCACGAAGAGAGTCCGACTCAGGGTCGGCAAGCGCAGGAAGAGAGGACTCAGGAGGAGAAGGCAAAGGGGCACGCAGAGGAGCAGTGGACGGACGCAAAGACATCCGGTGCGTGCCAGGGACAGGAGGAGGACGCTGACGTGAACTGCGACCACTAGCGCGAGCAGCACGAACAGGCGACGCGGGACGAGACGCAGGCTCACGACGCTCAGCAAGACCTCCAGCAGGACCAGTGTAAGGAGAGGGAGCAGGCAGTGGAGAGGAAGGCTCCAGCAGGGACTGCGACTGGACAGGCGGTGGACTCTCTACTGGAGGAGAAAGACCAAGAACCTGCTGCAGGAGCGGAACGAAGTACGGCCGAGGCCGCGCGGCAGCTCCAGACTCAGCAGGGACAGCACCAGCACCCTCAGCGACAGCACCAGCGCCACCCACACCTCCAGCGGCAGGACCAACAGCAGTAGGCTCAGCACCAACGCCCTCAGCAGCTCCAGCTCCAGGAGGACCCTCAGGTCCAGCAGCTCCAGGACCGGCAGCACCCGCACCCTCGACGGTCGAAGAAGCTCCAGCTCCAGCTCCAGCAGCACCTCCAGACTCAGCAGCACGCCTCTAGCGGCGAGCGAACCACTCGCGCAGCTCCTGTGGAGAGAGGGGCTCCCGGCGAGACGCAGCAGCAGGAGAAACCCCAGGCTCAGCAGCTCCAGACGCAGCACCCCCAGGCTCAGCAGCTCCCAGCACAGCACCCCCAGACCCAGCACCTCCAGGAACAGCACCCCCCGGCTCAGCACCCACAGGCTCCGCACCCTCCGCAGTAGCACCCTCAGGCCCAGCACCCCCAGCAGTAGCACCCCCAGGCTCAGCACCCCCGCGCACAGCACCCCCAGAGTCAGCACCCCCAGGCTCAGCACCCGCAGCAGCACCAGAGTCACCAGTAACCTCGACCGGGTCAACGGCGTCTACCTGGGACACACCTGAGGGGGCAGGAACCTGAGGGGGGAGGGGGTCTACCGGGGGGGGAAACCGGCACAAGGAAGTCCGGGGGAGGGGGGAGGGAAGGAGTGCGGTAGGGGAAGAGACGGTAGAAGGGGACTGACTCGTCGAACGTGACGTCCTGGGAGGACAGAACACGACGAGAGGAGGGGTGGTAAAACTGCCACCCTGGGGCGTCAGTGGGGAAGCCAAGGAAGACACAGGGAGCAGCACGAGGGGACAGCTTGTCCGCAGACAAGTCGCGGACAAACGCCCGAGATCCCCAGACACGGAACACAGACGCATCGCCAACCTTCCCCGTCCACAGCAAGGCTGGGGACATCGCAGGCCGAGAGACCCGGGGGTGAAGGTTGAGCTGATGCGCCGCGTACCTCACCGCAAACGGCCACAGAAAATGGGGGGCAGCCGCATGCATCATGGACGTACGAGCGACATCCATGACCATGCCAATGCGGCGCTCAGCAATCCCATTTTGCTGTGGTGAGTCCGGAAGCGTGAAGGTCTGGCGGATCCCCCGTGCACGACAGTAGTCCCGCAGAAGGCGAGAAGAGAACTCTCCGCCTCTGTCCGAGTGCAGACGCAGAACAGGAAAGTCCGAGCCGAAGCTCTTCCTGAGCTGGAGACGAGCCTCACGGATCCAGTCGATCAGCACCTCAGTGACCGCACCCTTGCTGCGCAAGGGGAGGACTGTGGTGTAACGCGAGTAGTCGTCAACCACCAACAGGAAGTAGCGCTCGTAACCCTGCCCACGGACGGGGGCTGGGCCCCACACATCCATGTGAAGCGTCTGCAGGGGAGCCTCTGTCGGGGGGAAGTGGGAGGAGTGAGGAGTAGCCCGGAGGCGACCCTCGACACAGGGGACACAGGAAGGTCCTGGCCCGGGGGGGAGAGGAGGGAGAGACTGGGGAAGACCAGAGACAAGGACACGGGAAGCCATGCTCCGAAGACGGGGCAAGGAGGGGTGGCCAAGACGGTGGTGCCACAGGAGAGTCTCGTGAGACAGGAGGCGACAAGAACAGGGGGCAGACTCAGGACCTGACCGGGACGCAGCAGCAAGCACCTGACCCGACGGAGCCACCTGACCAGACGCAGGGACAGGAGGAGACTCAACGGTCAGGGTGTAGAGACTCGACCGCGGCCGACGCGAGAACGTGGCAAGGTGTCGGCCTGTGCGTGCCTCCGTGCAGTGGGTCACCCGCTGACTCGCAGGAGTGAACTGGTGAACCCCCACATCCTGCAGGTCCGCTCCACTCACCAAGTTCGTAGAGAACGAGGGAAGGTACAGACCAGACAGGGTGCCCGAAGGGGCAGCCGGACACGGGAGGACAGTGGAGAAGTGAGACAGGACAGGACCCCCAGAGGGGTCAGCAAGGGAGACCGCAACCGGCCGGCCGAGCGGCGTAAGGGTAGTGCGGTCTCGAAAGAAGGAGCGAGAAGCTCCGGAGTCAAGTGTGAAAGTGAGGGAGGACGAGGACGACGCAGTACCTGAGAGCGCAGTCTCACCAGTACCTGAAAGCACAGACGCACTGGCACCTAGAGCGGCAGCCTCACAAGCACCTAGCGCAGCAGTACCAATGCCCGGGTCGGGCTGGAAACACCGGTAACCCTCATTCTCCTCACTATAATCCACAACATACATAGCAGCAAGGATAGCATCAAAATCAAGATCAAAGATCGCTACACCAGCCCTGAGAAGCTCATCCCAGCGAGGGATCTCACTAGCCCCAGGGAACTGCTGACGCCAAGCGTCGGTCAGGCGGCCAAAGCAGCGCTGGGTGGCGTGGGCACCCCCACACTGCTCACCCGCGCGGTCGCCGGAACGAAGAACGTAGGTGCAGGGACCAGTACCCCCACCCCTCTGACGCCCAGCGTACCACTCACGAAGCTGCTGAGGCGGAGGGATGTCCCGCGAGCGCTGCAGCTGCTGCCGCTGCGAGCGCTGGCCACCACTACCGCCGCTACGCTGCTGGGTACCACCTCGACCAGCTCCACCTCCTCCACCACCACCGCCTCCTCCGCTGCCGCCTCCACCGCCTCCACCTCCGCCGCCTCCACCTCCGCCGCTGCCTCCACCACCACCGCTGGCACCACCACCACCGTCTCCGCCGCTGCTGCCACCACCACCACCACCCCCGCCACCAGTCCCGCCGCCACCCCCACTCCCTCCGCCGCCACCGCCGCCACCGCCACCGCCCCCTCCAGCTCCACCCGCGCCCTTGCCCCCCTTGCCCTTGCTGGAGCGACGTCTCCCACTAGGGGCAGACGCCGCGCCGACCGACTCAAGACCAAGCAGGTCGGCAGCAGCAGCAGAGGCAACACGGGGCAGCAAGGGGGAAGGAGAGCACCCCTCAAAGATGGGGGTGCGAGGGTCACCACGAGAAGCACCTACAGCGACTATGCTCTTCTCCGCTGCGAGGAGGGCCTTCTCGAGGAGGTCGACGGTGAGGGTGGTGGGACAGACTGCGAGAAAGTGGTCCCTGACGACGCGAAGGGAGTCAGGGAGGCGCGCGACTACGTAGTAGAGAGCGATGTACATGGGGGGGGGGTTCTTAGCGCAGAACTCAGCAGGAAGGGCGGCGCGGTAGCGAGTGTCACTAGTGCGGAGGTGCGTAATGAGGTCAGCGACAGTGGGAAAGGCAGAGAGGTCCGGAAAGAGGTAGGGAAGCATGAGACGGCTCAGTGCAGCAGTGGCAGGGGAGGAGTAGCGCGCAACTACAGCGTCGTACAAGGTCTGAGCACTCTTGTACTGACTAAAGTGCGCACGCTCGGAGGTAGGGAGATGGCGACGCACAGCAAGACGTGCAGCAGCATCGCGGGTGGCCCACTTAGAGCGGACAGTGGGATCAGCATCAGCAGCAGGAGCAGGAGAGGCGCCAGAGGTGAGGTCAAAGAGAGAAAGGTCGTCAGCCCTGTCGCACTGTAAGAACAGCTGCAGGTCGTCTAACCAGACCTCAAAATCAATGGCGCGACCCTCAGCGTCAAAAGCTAGGACACTAGGGGTAGCCATGGCGACGACAGCGACGCAGTGCAAGCAGTAGGGAAAGAGCTCGCAGTGTCAGTGGGACTGTGCTCACCAGGCAGGGCAGGTCGTGCAGCTCTGCAAAAAGGCGGCTCAGCGACCGGGCGGCTCGGGTGCACAGCGGCTCGGCTCCCGGGCGGCTCGGCGGCTGGGCGGCTCGGGCGCAGGGCGGCTCGGCTCCCGGGCGGCTCGGCGGCAGGGCGGCTCGGCTGCAGGGCGGCTCGGGTCCCGGGCGGCTCGGCGTTGGGCGGCTCGGCTCCCGGGGGGTTCGGCTGCTGGGGCGGCTCTGCTGCTAGGGCGGCTCGGCCGGGAGAAGCAGGGGCGGGGCCGTCAGGTGCAGCGGCGGGTCGACCGGTGTAGCGGCGGGCCGGCAGGTGCAGTGGCGGGGCCGTAGGGTGCAGCGGCGGGCCTACCAGGTGGGGCGGCGGGCCGTAGGGTGCAGCGGCGGGCCGTGGGGTGCAGCGGCGGGCCGGCAGGTGCAGCGGTGAGCCGGTGGGTGCAGCTGCGGGCCGGCAGGTGCAGCGGCGGGCCGGCAGGTGCAGCGGCGGGCCGGCAGGTGCAGCGGCGGGCCGGCAGGTGAGGCGGCGGGCCGTAGGGTGCAGCGGCGGGCCGTAGGGTGCAGCGGCGGAGCCGGCGGTGGGGCCGCGTCAGGGGAGGCGGCGGGGCCGCGTCAAGCAGGCGGCGGGGCCGCGACGAAGCGGGCGGCAGGGCCGCGTCAGAGCCGGCGGCGGGGCCGCGTCAGTGGAGGCGGCGGGGCCGCGTCAAGTAGGCGGCGGGGCCGCGACGAAGTGGGCGGCAGGGCCGCGTCAGAGCCGGCGGCGGGGCCGCGCCAAGCAGGCGGCGGGGCCGCGATCAGGAGGGGTGGCGGGGCCGCGTCTGAGGGACAGCGGGGCCGCGAGGGAAATGGCGACCCGAGGGGTCGCGAAAAAAAAGGGCGCGCCTCGGGGCGCGCTTCGGTGGGCCCTAAAAAAAACGGTCCTAAGGAAGGACCCGCTCTATACCATGTGAAATAAGTGAACAGGAATGAGAATGACTAAGGAAAGGTTGGGTACAAATACAACCCTAGAAACCCTGTACCCCATATGTGCTACCCCACTATATGTCAGAGGTCCACTGGTGATCCCCGATCGATCCTAGGGAAGGGTTACAGGCACATTTGCCTGGGGGGTTATGGGCGCACTGACCCGCTAGTGAAACAAGCCCTTTTATCCCAATGGTCTAGTGGTTGGGATTCTAAGATGGTATCCAGAGCGAAGGTCTCGGGTTCGAATCCCGGTGTATGCACTTCGGGCATCCCAGTGCGGGGGGGTGTCAGAGGTCCACTGGTGATCCCCGATCGATCCTAGGGAAGGGTTACAGGCACATTTGCCTGGGGGGTTATGGGCGCACTGACCCGCTACTGAAACAAGCCCTTTTATCCCAATGGTCTAGTGGTTGGGATTCTGAGACTATAGCCTACAGAAACTATGTCATATAAATCTGACATAGTATCGGAACTTAAAATGCAAATGCCAGGGAGAACGGAAGCGCTCAGATCTCACATAGTACACGGAATCAAGTGGTCTCACTCAAATAGAAAGAAGGAAAGGGTTTCAAAGGTAACTAACGCACATGTGTAGAGAAAATTGTGCATCGGCCAGTCTGGCCGGCATTTCGCACTTATAGTGCAACTAGGGCCAAGGAGAACGGAAACGCTCATTTCTCAAAAAGTAGAGGGAATCTAGCAGTCTCACTCGATCAGAAGGTGGGAAATATATAAATATAGTGAGCTAATAAGGTTCGAAAGGAATCTAATGCATATGTAAATGGAAAATGGTGCATTGGCCAGGTCGGTCAGTATGGGAACTTAGAGTGCAAATGCCAGGGAGAACGGAAGCGCTCAGATCTCGCATAGTACACGGAATCTAGTTGTCTCACTCAAATAGAAGGTAGGAAATAAATTCATCTAGTGAACGTAAGGGTTTGAAAGGTAACTAACGCACATGTGTAGAGAAAATGGTGCATCGGCCAGTCTGGCCGGCATTTCGCACTTATAGTGCAAGTAGGGCCAAGGAGAACGGAAACGCTCATTTCTCAAAAAGTAAAGGGAATCTAGCGGTCTCACTCGATCAGAAGGTGGGAAATATATAAATCTAGTGAGCTAATAAGGTTCGAAAGGAATCTAATGCATATGTATATGGAAAATGGTGCATTGGCCAGGTCGGTCAGTATGGGAACTTAGAGTGCAAATGCCAGGGAGAACGGAAGCGCTCAGATCTCGCACAGTACACGGAATCTAGTGGTCTCACTCAAATAGAAGGTAGGAAATAAATTCATCTAGTGAACGTAAGGGTTTGAAAGGTAACTAACGCACATGTGTAGAGAAAATGGTGCATCGGCCAGTCTGGCCGGCATTTCGCACGCATTTTAAGTTCCGATACTGACCGACTTGGCCAATGCACCATTTTCTCTATACATGTGCAATGAATACATTTCAAACCTTTTTGGCTGACTAGATTTATATATTTCCCACCTTCTGATTGAGTGAGACCGTAATATTCCCTCTACTTTTTGAGAAACGAGCGTTTCCGTTCTCCCTGGCCCCACCTGCACTATGAGTGCGAAATGCCGGCCAGACTGGCCGATGCACCATTTTCTCTACACATGTGCGTTAGTTACCTTTTCAAACCCTTACATTCACTAGATGAATATATTTCCTACCTTATATTTGAGTGAGACCACTAGATTCCATGTATTATGCGAGATCTGACCGCTTCCGTTCTCCCTGGCATTTGCACTCTAAGTTCCCATACTGACCGACCTGGCCAATGCACCATTTTCCATATACATATGCATTAGATTCCTTTCGAACCTTATTAGCTCACTAGATTTATATATTTCCCACCTTCTGATCGAGTGAGACCGCTAGATTCCCTTTACTTTTTGAGAAATGAGCGTTTCCGTTCTCCTTGGCCCTACTTGCACTATAAGTGCGAAATGCCGGCCAGACTGGCCGATGCACCATTTTCTCTACACATGTGCGTTAGTTACCTTTCAAACCCTTACGTTCACTAGATGAATTTATTTCCTACCTTCTATTTGAGTGAGACAACTAGATTCCGTGTACTATGCGAGATCTGAGCGCTTCCGTTCTCCCTGGCATTTGCACTCTAAGTTCCCATACTGACCGACCTGGCCAATGCACCATTTTCCATATACATATGCATTAGATTCCTTTCGAACCTTATTAGCTCACTATATTTATATATTTCCCACCTTCTGATCGAGTGAGACTGCTAGATTCCCTCTACTTTTTGAGAAATGAGCGTTTCCGTTCTCCTTGGCCCTAGTTGCACTATAAGTGCGAAATGCCGGCCAGACTGGCCGATGCACAATTTTCTCTACACATGTGCGTTAGTTACCTTTGAAACCCTTTCCTACTTTCTATTTGAGTGAGACCACTTGATTCCGTGTACTATGTGAGATCTGAGCGCTTCCGTTCTCCCTGGCATTTGCATTTTAAGTTCCGATACTGACCGACCTGGCCAATGCACCATTTTCTCTATACATTTGCGTTGAATACATTTCAAACCTTTTTAGCTGACTAGATTTATATATTTCCCACGTTCTGATCGAGTGAGACCGTTAGATTCCCTCTACTGTTTGAGAAACGAGCGTTTCCGTTCTCCCTGGCCCCACCTGCATTATGAGTGCGAAATGCCGGCCAGACTGGCCGATGCACCATTTTCTCTACACATGTGCGTTAGTTACCTTTCAAACCCTTACGTTCACTAGATGAATATATTTCCTACTTTCTAATTGAGTGAGACCACTTGATTCCGTGTACTATGCGAGATCTGAGCGCTTCCGTTCTCCGTGGCATTTGCATTTTAAGTTCCGATACTGACCGACCTGGCCAATGCACCATTTTCTTTATACATGTGCGTTCAATACATTTCAAACCTTTTTAGCTGACTAGATTTATATATTTCCCACCTTCTGATAGAGTGAGACCGTTAGATTCCCTCTACTTTTTGAGAAATGAGCGTTTCCGTTCTTCCTGGCCCCACCTGCACTATGAGTGCGAAATGCCGGCCAGACTGGCAGATGCACAATTTTCTCTACACATGTGCGTTAGTTACCTTTCAAACCCTTACGTTCACTAGATGAATATATTTCCTACCTTCTATTTGAGTGAGACCACTAGATTCGGTGTACTGTGCGAGATCTGAGCGCTTCCGTTCTCCCTGGCATTTGCACTCTAAGCTCCCATACTGACCGACCTGGCCAATGCACCATTTTCCATATACATATGCATTAGATTCCTTTTGAACCTTATTAGCTCACTAGATTTATATATTTCCCACCTTCTGATCGAGTGAGACCGCTAGATTCCCTTTACTTTTTGAGAAATGAGCGTTTCCGTTCTCCTTGGCCCTACTTGCACTATAAGTGCGAAATGCCGGCCAGACTGGCCGATGCACCATTTTCTCTAAACATGTGCGTTAGTTACCTTTCAAACCCTTATGTTCACTAGATGAATTTATTTCCTACCTTCTATTTGAGTGAGACCACTAGATTCCGTGTACTATGCGAGATCTGAGCACTTCCGTTCTCCCTGGCATTTGCACTCTAAGTTCCCATACTGACCGACCTGGCCAATGCACCATTTTACATATACATATGCATTAGATTCCTTTCGAACCTTATTAGCTCACTAGATTTATATATTTCCCACCTTTTGATCGAGTGAGACTGCTAGATTCCCTCTACTTTTTGAGAAATGAGCGTTTCCATTCTCCTTGGCCCTAGTTGCTTTATAAGTGCGAAATGCCGGCCAGACTGGCCGATGCACAATTTTCTCTACACATGTGCATTAGTTACCTTTCAAACCCTTACGTTCACTAGATGAATATATTTCCTACTTTCTATTTGAGTGAGACCACTTGATTCCGTGTACTATGCGAGATCTGAGCGCTTCCGTTCTCCCTTGCGTTTGCATTTTAAGT